TCGTAACCATAGAAGCACTTAGTGTGTCTTTTGGCGCACTAGCAAGCTTCCTCCGCACACCCGTACCAGTAGAACTCACGTGTCACTCATTCTCCAATCTAGCACTTTATTCCTACTTGCTAATCCCGCTTTATATCCCAGGATTGCAACTAGTCGAAGTAAATTATAATAAAGCGACTGTAACACGTAGAGAGAAAACCATTTAACAGTTATCTTCTTTTCCTTAATCCCGTAGCCATAAGCGTGTCGTAGGTCACGCACCGAGCGACATATCTCTGTCCAAATCCTGCATTCGAATTAGTCGTTTGGATTTTAGTTGACACTTCTCCGTTCTGAGTATGATCCCCTACTCGGGATCAAAGAGCGTGCCCCAAGCCTAAGGAGCTCAGCTCTAAACGTCGAAGCTCTACCTTTTCAACAAAAGTCTAAGTTGGAGCTCCATTAACTTTACAACAGCATTTTATTTTATTTTATAGATATTTACCTTCCAAACTGTGCTTGGATAAAACAGTGACATAACAGATCTCTCACAGATCTGTTATGATCCTATTGATTCACTGGTTATGATCCTGTTCGTGTTAACCTTTGCCCGTATCTAACATGTGTCTCATTTAGTACACGAGCTTTTCTGGTTAGAATTTTATAGATTATTGGGAGAAATATCGCCGTGTTATAAAACGACCTCATTTACCAATTACTGCATGTGTAAAACTACCGTACAATATTTGAGACAGTGATACTAGCCACGGTTGAGAGTCCACCCATTCGATTTTGTCACAAATTTTTCTCCCTACTTACTAGCTTTCGAAGGACCACATATTGGTGTTGTGAGCGAACTACCTATTTAGTATTTGGGTTCGTGGAAAATAAGTGACAGTAAACAACTCGCCTATTCGCTCCGATATGAATAAAATATATGAAAAAACAGAGGCTATACATTCTAGAACGAAGAAACGAACCGGAGCTCTCAAACGCCTTATTGATTGGGTTATTGAAACTGACTAATCTTCGTTTTCCCCCGTTTATTTTGACAGGACTAGGGCCTGGTTACTCCGTTATGTTTAACCTTCTGAGCTTTCACTGTGACGATGAGCTCTTACTCTCGTACCATGGCACCACTTTGATTATTTATCTACTACTCTTCCAATGCCTGATTTCTGTTTCTTCGTCCAACTTGTTTGTCCTTCTACCAATTCTTCTATGGTATCCTGGCTTATCAGTTTAACTCATGCAATTTTGTTGAAAAAATAAAGTAGTTCTGTGACACTATTTCGGTCACAAGCTCTTATAAAAGAAAAGTATTAAAGGGAAAGAGGATGGATTTTTACTGTAAACGACAGACCAAGAAAGGTGAATAAACGGAAATCTTGTAATAATGAAATAACTAAAGATACTAAAGCAAAAAAGACAATAATTTATAGTTGTTCACTAACCTTTTTAACAAAAATGTTCATGATTTAGTAATAATTAAGTAAGCACTAAGCATTGAAATAAATAGTAAAATAGCTCGTTCTTGGTCGTCCTTGAAACTCTTTATACTCTTGGAGGGTATTGGAAAAGCTGTAGTTCAAGAATCAACTAATAGAATATAATAACTTCTACACAATTTGTAGAAAAATCAGAATTACGATAGTTATAATTTCGAAAAGACAAATAGTGTAATGTAGGGTATAGAAAACGCAAAATATAGCAGAATGTAGAGACCACCAAATCTGGAATATCAGAATAAGGATAATACAAAATATTTCTCTCAATATAATTACGAAAATATAATTTGCAAACTGATCTAAATACTGTACTGCATGATGCTATATTTATTGAAGGTGTTTAAAATGTTAATATCATGTCTGACGCCAAACTATTCACGACATGTAAACATAAACAATGATAAGGATAGGACATTATCTAAATAATTTAAGAAATAAAAAATATTATGTAAACTATTTTTAAATTTGATCAAATAAAAAATTATAATAGAGTGTTAGATAACCGTGTGGAAGGGATAGATTGATACCGAATTGTCAAAAATTAGGCAATTATTTTAGCTATTTTTAAGAACCTCTGGGGATTATTGTGTCCGAATGGCAATCAACGTTTAAGACAAGAATATCATGAAAATTTATTCATGATAAACTCTTTTGTCCATCAAAGTCGTCTACACGTGAATGAACAGTGTCAAAAATAAGATCATTTTATAAGAAGCGACCACAGATTAATCTAAGCAAAGATACGATTACATGTCAAATTGGAAAGAAGCAAGATGACCGTAAAATCTCATTTCTTTTTTTGGCAGGTTCTTCGAAAGGAGTGTATTTCAAAGAGCCTAATTTTAATTAAAGTGTAAGGCGGTGGTATGATGAATTAGAAAGCGAGTTAGATTATGAGGACTACAACAACAAAAATTTTTCTCCAGATAGTGATCATAACTCTGATTCTGAGGTGAAAGATCAAGGGACAATGCTGAAACACAAGAGAGTTAGACTATAGGTGAAGAAGAATAGGGGCCAGAAACAACAAATGGGAAGTTTTATTTTGGTAAAAATCGATAAAAGTGGTCTGCTGTTCCGGCCAATCCAGATTTGAATATTAGAACAAAAAAAAACACAATCTGGTAAAAGTTCTTCCGGGATTGAAAGGACCTGCAAAATGTGGTGATGTATCTGATTCCTTAAAACTATGGAACCTTCTTTTCACAGAGGATATGGAAAACGAAATAATTCTACGGACAAATGAAAAGATATTGTTATTTCAAGATACATTTAGCTAAAATTCTGATAAAACAGAATTGAGATTAATTTGATTAACAAAGAAAGAATTTAGAGCGTTTCTCGCTATCTTGTATTTCTCTGCAGTTTTCAAGTCACATGATGAAGACTTGCAAGAAATATTTGTAACAGATGGAACGTAACGAGACATATTCAGATCCGTTATGTTTTTGAAAAGAGTAATATGTTGCTCGCATGTCTAAGATTTGTTGACTGAATAGTTAGTGTAAATCAGGAATGGCTAACCCGCGGCACGCGTGCCACTCTGTGGCACGATTGAGTCCTATCAGTGTATCGGCTACGCGTGCCACTGATAGGACTTTCAAACTGATCAAACTTTCAAAAAAATTAAATCTTGAAAAACAAAAAATAATAAGAAGAAACTTGGTAGGTTTACGGAAGTTACGATAGATGCGGCATCATTGCATCCTCTGGCGAGCGATATTGCTGCGATTGGTGCACGTGATCCTAGCTGTCGTAATGTGCAATAGGACTGTGTTACCCTTGCTTACTTTATTTTAAACTGCCCCGTTGTATGTGTACATTTTGTCATCGCGCATTGTTTCTTTAAAATTTTAAAAGTATTTGTTCGATATGTCCACGAGTAAGCCTTCGACTTCAAAACGAAAATACGAAGATGATATTGCAATTCACGATTTTCAACCTGCTTGGGAAGAACAATTTTTATTTACTAATTGTAATACTTCAAAGCCTGTTTGTTTGATATGTGGATTGTCTGTAGCAGTTCCGAAAAAATTTAACCTGGAACGACATTATAAACAACTGCATAAGGACTTCAGCAACAAATATCCTATTGGTTCACATTTGCGAGCCGACTTTATTGAAAAAAAAGAAAACCCTAGCCAGCCAACAGTCACTGTTTCAGAAGAGAAGTAATGAAATGGAAACTATGATTAAAACAACATATGAACTTTCTCTGCTGTTAGCCCGGAAGAAAAAAGCCTACTCTGATGGAGAGGAGATAATTAAAAATAGTCTGGCAATATTTGCTAAAAATGTGGGAGATGTAAAGATCAAAAATATGGTCGATAATATTGCATTATCCCGAAATACAGTCATGTGCCGTATAGATGATATGGGCCAGGATGTTGTTTCCCAAATTATAAGTGGATTACAATCCTGCAAATTCTTTTCTTTAGCGTTGGATGAAAGTTGTGACAACACAGAAAATGCGCAGTTAAGCATTTTTGTCCGTTATACCAATATAATTTTGAAAATGCTGAAGAGCTTCTGGATTTGCGCCAACTAGTACAACAACAGGAGAGGACATTTTTCAACAGCTTAAAAACGTAATTGAAGTCAACAAAGTTGAATGGTCAAATTTAGATAGTGTTTGTACAGATGGAGCTCCTTGCATGGTTGGTAGACCAAAGGGGTTTGTTACATTACTGGAAAACTATTTGGGAAGAAAAGTTTTTAAGTACCATTGTATTATTCACCAGGAAGCTCTTTGTGCCAAGGACCTAAACATGTCATCTGTTGTTGACCCTGTAACACGCTGCATTAACAAAATACGAACTCAGGCATTGAATCGAGGACAATTTCGAGAACTGTTCGCGGAAGAAACGGAGCAAGATGGAGAGTTACTTCTCCATTGCAGTGTGCGCTGGCTCTCCAAACGAAATGCACTCGAAAGGTTTTGGAACTTGAAGGAGTGTGACTTAAAATATTTGCAAGAAAACAATGAACTACCCAGTGAGTGCTTGTTACTTAATGATAAAGATTGGCTTTGGGATTTAGCTTTTCTCACTGATATTATGAGACATTTAAATCGATTAAATTTAAGATTACAGGGAAAAAATTGTATTTTTTTCCCCAAAATTGTTTTTTTGCCAAAAAAACCTAGAATCTAGAACTATAAGTTCCTCCTAGTTAAAAAAACTATAGAATTTGGGGTCACCACATCATTTTCTTCGTATTTTTATATTCTTATGTCTTTAATATAAATAAAGACCAAAAAAAAGGACTAGGATTTTATTTTTAAAAAACATTTTTGTTAAAAACTGATTGTAATTCTTAAATAAATGCTTATAGTTTTCAAATTATGAAAGAGTTCCTGTTATGTGAGTTCATATTTAACTATACATTGGCAAAAGTAAAGATAGATGCCTATAAACAATAAAAATTAATTTTGGTTATGAGTACCTATCACCACTTCCTAGTCAACAAAGAAAATATTGTATTTACTACAATGAAAAGTATGTAAAAACTCACCCTTGGTTGAAGTTTCAATATATTCACTGCTTTCCAAATTATTTTCAGTCACCAAAGACTGATTCCCATACACTAACTCTTGAAATGATGATTGTGAATTTGAATGAAAACTTTCTGTAGAGATGAACTGCTTACTAACAACTCTTTCAAATTGCTCTGACAGTTCACTATTGGATTGAAAATAATTACTGTCTGTTTGATAGGTTTCTGCAATAGCACAATTGTCGACTAGTTCTGTAAAGGAATGGTCTGTAGAATTGTAGTCTCTAGAAAAGTCACTTGAACTTAGAAACTGTTGATTTTGGGAATAACTGTAATCAGAAATATGACTTTCTGAAGAGTTTTGAAGTTGATTGCCAAAATTCAACTGTGAATAATTATTTTGATAATAATCACTGTGTTCAAGGCTGTGTGTTAGATCTTGAGGTTCACTATGTCTTTCAAAACTAAGAAAAACTTCACTGGAAGTACTTTTTTCAATTATATTATCCTCTGTTATAAAACTGTTGTCTATTGAAGATTCTAGTGTTTCCTGACTGAATTTTTGTTCAGGTTCTTGTTCAAAACCTGTATCAGCAATATAAAAGTCTTGTGTAGAGATTGAATTGTCCAATACCTCTTTACTCCCTACAATATATACAGAAGATTGCTTTGAAGCTTGATCTATTTCATATATATTTGATTGCCCTGTTAAAGTTTGATTAAAATCAGAATCTTCATCTAGTAAAGTGTTTAATTTCTCTTTGATTGTCTCAAAATTGGTAGATTGACTGTTTTGATATTCAAAATTGCTATCATCAATTACTTCTATGGACTCAGAGCTAGATTTTACTGAGTCTAAAGACTCAACACTATGCTGTTGAATATTAGGCTTAAGTCCATTTAGTAACTGGGGATTTTGTTCAATATCAGAATCTGAAGGGGCATCAGTAGCACTAACTATTCTAGCGTAAGAAATAGAAGATGTAACCTTTTTGCTCTCCTTAGCTTCACTTTTAAGTTTGCTTTCATACAACAATCTCTTTTCTACAATTGTAGATACTGAAGGACTTTCAAATTTTGTTGCAGCCTTCTTTGAAAAAGCTTTGTCAGTTGTTCTCTTTTTGTAATGTTCTATTATTGATGGTTTTGATGTGTCATATTTAGTTTTCCTCAGTGTCTGATCTACCACTGCACTTAAAGTCAGTTCTTGGTCTTTATTTTCTGGATTACTCTTAGATTTATATTTTTTGCCTTTTTCTTTGACAGGTAAAAATGAGAAACCTATATCATCTGCTCTGTTATCTTCATTTAGGTCAACAGAAATGTGTTTCTTAGGTTTGGTTTCTAAATTTCCTTTGGGAACAGTTTTAACTTTGAAAAATGAATAACCTATGTCATCATCTAGATCTTTTTTGGGTTTTTCCTTTTTCACTGGCAATTCTTCAGTTGTATGTTTTTTGGAGGATTTTCCTTTCTTCTTATTAACTACTACAGCTGAAACAAAATATAGAAACTGTTTATTGCTTCAAGTAGAGGTGATAATATAATATACTAAAAGTTGTGTAAAATTTAAAATAAAAACATTTACTTTATTGACCCTTAATTACTTTTAACTAATTATTTTTCACCACAATGTGCCTTTAAATTTAATAAAATTGTGTCAAAATCGAAAGTACACCTTTTACCCTAGTGACACAATATTAAAAATATAGGTTTTAAGTTATCTTGTAAATAACAATGTGAAACACTAGGCACTTAAATACAAGTTTTTTAAGAAATCAACAAAAGAAGCACTAAAATTAGTTAAGTTATATTAAAAACTGTTTAATTTTTTTTCTTCACATACTACTTAAGCAACTAGACACTATTTTTATTTAAACTTGTTTTGATTCTTTCCATATATGTTACCTTCTTCATTGATTGTTTCCTCTATTATATCTTCAATAGGAGTTGATAAACTTGTACTAAATGTGGGATCTTCGTTAAGTTTTTTAGGCCTCTGGCGAACCTTGCCTCCTTTAAATTGTTGCTTGGGTTTATTGCTGCTGGATTTGTCAGATTTATCCTCCTCTTGTGATGTACTGCTGACAGCCTACAACAAATACTATTTTATAACAAATTCATAACTAAAACCGGTTAGAAAAGAAATGGAATCAAATAACAGCTTACAGTATTTATGCCATCTGATATACTTAATAACATTAGAACCACCCATAATGATGTCAAGCGGAAAACCTCACAAGTTATGGAACAACTCAATTGTATCACAAATATAATACCATAAAACATAAACCTAACAATTAACCAAAGCATATTTATTGAAGTGCAGTCTATTGATACTCTCTCCGGCTTATTTTCCAGTAAATTTGTTATTTTTTTTAATTTTAATTAAATGGCATAGGTCAAATGAGATAATACATAATAGGTTAATAGCATTTATAACACTCAATATTAATAGCAGTGATTTTTATTTATAAACAATTTATCTTACAAATACCTATATTTGGAAATGAATTATAAAAAGTATTAAAGTAATCATAATAAAACAAACCTTTTAAATTCAAAACATTACCACTGTGTGTGTGACATTACTTAATTCAAGGTGACATTGATATGACAAGTGACAGTTTTATTTTTCAATAATACAAGAAATAAAATACCCTTCTGAGTTTGAAATATATTTCAAAAAGTTAATAATTTACATCTTTAATGCAAATAATGAAAATAATTATCTGTCTGTACTTATTCTGACTTATTTAAAAATTAACGGCAAAGTAAACAACTTATCTTCATATTTTGTTAAATATTTCACTTTATGATTGTTCGTAAAAAAATGCCTCATTATATGATTTAAAAGTGGAATATCCTTGATAAACTTAAAGTAATAATATAATTTTTGTTGTTTTATTTTATATACATTGTGTTTATCGAAGTTTGATAAAGCTAATATATTTCATTTCCAAATAGTTTAGAAATGATTTATTTTAAAAATTACGTAATAGACAATGGTGCCAACGTGAATATTAAAAACAGCTGTTGATGAAAATATGGCAACAAATGTCAAAATGCTTTAAGAGGTTTCAAAAAATTATTAAATAGTTATTTTTAAAAAAATATACCAAATATATGATGAGCAGTGAAATGCGAAATACGAGTAATAGTAAAAGTGTAGATAGTGAAAGTATAGATATTGCAGAACAAGAAAAAGAGTTAGGTAATTTTATATATAGTGCAGAAAATGATTCCGATCCTGTTGAAAGTGAAGAAACCCAAGATATTTGTATAAATGAAACGGATGGTGCCGATTTTGACGATGATCTTGAGAACGTTAATATTGCAATTTTTTTTCATAGAGTTGACAGTGATCAAATTATATATCAGAAGAAAAAACGAAAACTTAAGCTTGTGGGGAAGTATGTGATGGGGGACTTGCTCGGGGAAGGGGCCTACGGGAAAGTGAAGGAGATGTTGGACTCTGAAACGTTATGTAGAAGGGCTGTAAAAATTTTAAAACAGAAAAAATTACGTAGGATACCAAATGGTGAACAAAATGTACAAAGGTAATATCAAAACAATCATTAAGTTTTAATATCTTGCTATTTACCCCAAACAAATAAATTATATATGCCAGTTTTAATAGTAAAACAGGCGTTAGTAAATTGTAATCAATGGTTTTATGGGTTATACAATTTTAAGGCATTACTATGAATCTAATACAGTACTATTGCCACAATTTAAGCAAATAAACAACAATGTTATTTTTATAAATTAGTTTGTTGCAAATAATAGATTTTTAAATTGTTTATATTGTTTACTTCTCTTCAAATGCCAACACTTGTAAAAAATTTTATAGGATGAAAATACTGATTAGTGTGGTTTTGGATGCCTCCTGTGATTTACTCTTTTTTCTTAATAATTCACCATCTCATAAGAAGTTTTCTTTGTTTTTAATAATGATATATCAATAATAATAATTTAATGAAAGGGTTTTTCTTAAATGAAATTTAGTAAAAACCATCTAAACAAGTAATCATTTGTCAGAATGAAATATGTGTTTGTTATTTTATTTTTATGCCAAAAGTTTCTAATGTAGCAGTAATCTATGTAAATATAAGACTTCTAGTGAATACCCAGCCTCCTATTCTTATTTTAAATTGGTTTAGTTTTATTAGTATTTTAGAGTTCTGTTCTTGTAGAAACACTAATTTATGAAGTATTTTCACTGGAGAAGATTTCATTGCCTACAACAGTTGGAATTTTGACTTTCTGTTAGCCATTTATTTATTTATTTATTGATGGGCTAAACTCTTTTTCAGTTTTTGTACAACATGTATAAAATACAGTAAGATACATAAGCTAGCTACAACATGTTTTTTAAATGATGCAGTTGAAGTATTAAATAATTCTAAATCTGTTTGGTAATTGTTCACCATACGTAACATCCTAGAAATAACTTCATTAAGTCCATAATTAGTAGAATGGAAATCTACAAAAAACAGATCAGAATTACTGGTTCTTCACATAGGTATATTAAATGAGATTAATCCCAAAATTTCAGGCCAATTAATAAATCCATTTAGAAGCTTATGTAAAAAATATAATTCGAATTCAGCTCTTCTTGTCTCTAATTTGTTCATTTTATGTTGATTAAGAATATAACTGTAATTATAATCTCCACTCCTCTTAAACCCATTTTATAACCACATATCCTTAAAAATCTGTTTTGAACTTTTTCTAATTGAGTTTTCTGGGCATTATAAAAAGGACACCATATAATACAGCAGTATTCTATAATTGATCGCACTAGTGAACAGTATAATATTTTAAACGTAAAAACTGGAAAGTCCTTTGAATTCCTGTGAATAAATCCTAACATGTTAAGGGCACTTGAAGTTATGTCATTAATATGATCATTAAAGTTCAGTTTTATATCCAGTGTTATGCCCAAATCCCGTACCTGACATATCTTTCGCAGAACACTACCATTAAGTGTGAAATTATTAGTAAAAGAAGACTGCCTACATTTATGTCATCAGCGAATAAGGGAAATTGGTCAGAATTAATTACGGTTTGTAATTACTGTTGTTAATTTGACAGTAAAATGGGTAAATTTGAGGCTTGCATTGGTTTTACCATTTTAAATTAAGAGATTGGGAATAGACAGAATTACTCAATAAGACCTTTTGTTGTCTTAATAAATTCTTTGTGTTGTTATTTTTAAGTTTTTCTCTCATACAAACACTGATTGATGAAGTGTTTTCACTAGAGAAGATTTCATTGCATACAATAAAAGTTGAAATTTTGACTTTCTCTTAATAATTGCTAATTTAATTATTAATATTTGGATTGCTTGTGAATTTTAAGACAGATATCTGTTTGTTAACTTATTTTTATTTTAATAAGTCTCTACCCTTATCTTCAGTTCCACTGGTTATACTATTTTAGTTTCAGAGAATAGGAGAGAGGTAATATTTGGTAATATTTTAATTGCTAGTGAATAATCAGGTAGAGAAAAGTATTCAGATTTAAAGAAAACCAAAATAGTTTGGGCACTTTCAGAAACAAGGGGGTTATAAAAAAAAGATAAAAATGATAATAACCAAGGGATAATTTTGAAGAAACTACGAAAAATGATTGTGAATAAAAAATTTCTAAAATTGAAATACAAAATAAGACTGGTGAGAAAAGTCCAGGCTATAAGGCTAAATGGTGTAGTGTAGACTATTGTAGTGGCTAATATACATATCATAAACAATAATTTAGTAAAGAAAAGTAACAAAAATCAAGGTAGGCCTTTGTGTAAGATAAGCTTATTTCATTCTTGCAAATGATCCTTAGAAAAAAACAATTTTAAAGGCTAAAACAAAAAATAAGTAATTTTCTAATACACTACAACTATTAATGGACAGATAAATTTAAGTTGACCTTTAAATTTATACATTCATAATCATAACTACCTGAAATCCACATTATGTTTTTTCATAATTATCAGGTACTAATAAAATTATTTTTATGAAAAGATTATAACTAGAGTTATTATAATTAATGTTATTTAAGTATGTTTACCAATCATGGGAACAATTAAGTATTCATCCATCATTTAAAATTCATGTTATTCTTAATTGTTGTTGCTAATTTAATGTATGTGGAAGGTCCTAGAACAAATTGTCCTAGCAAGGAAAACAAGAAACAAGTTAATAACAATGTTTGTACTTTTCAACACAGCTATATAAACTTTTTGTATAATGTATGTTAAATTTATAGGGTACTTATTTATTAATGATAGCTGTTGAAGTTTCAAAAAAGCCTTATCTTCATATATTCATTATTGGTACTTATCATCATCAATTAGTCTATATTTGTCCACTGCTGAACATAGGCCTCCCGTAAAATTGTCCACCTATTTCTGTCTTGAGCTTCTTGCATCCAGTTTGTGGTGATGCGCTTGATATCATCTGTTCATCATCTGTGCATATGCTATACACACATATGCCATCCATCATCAATTAGCCTATATTTGTCCACTGTTGAACGTAGGCCTCCAGTAAAATTTTCCACCTATTTCTATCTTGAGCTTTTTGCATCCAGCTTGTGGTGATGCGCTTGATATCATCTGTCTATCATCCATGCATATGCCATACTAAAAAAAGTTTGGGAATACCACACAATTGGAGAGGGCATTTCTGGTTAATAGAGTGCATGATGTAGCAATTATAATAAACTCTGCTCATTATTACAATATTGTAAGCATTAGGGAGGAAGATCTTGACTCCCCTCCTTCAATAATAAAGTGGACAATTCTTTATTCTAATAAATTATTTAATTATATAAAAAGCATAGTCATGCCACTGTTCACCTTTTTGGATACAGTTGGCTCACATCACATGCTAAAGTTTGAATCTTACTATCTAGTGTTTACAGTAGATGTGTGTACTACAGCATTTTTGTAATTAAATCTCTTTGTTTTTGATTTTTAAGTAATATTTCAAAATACTGCCTCAGCATTTCCAAGCACTGAGTTTTACTGGGGTGAAATTTGAGCATTTTTTTGCATGAAACATCTTCAAAATAGTAGTTATTTCGATATTAGTATGTAGCCCCACCTTTATGCATTCACTGCTAACAAAGATTTTTGTTCTATACTTTTGGTTAGCATTATTGTACTGTCTATAAATTTTAAAATGTTTATTGTATCTGTTCCTTGTATTTTATTTCATTTGACTCATGCAATCAGTATATTTTTCATATCTCACCTCTTCTTTAACACTCTGAATGCCAAATCAGTTCTTTTCAACTGACACTAGATACAAATGTGATATAGTGACTATTTTATTTAATTGAGCTCTATTGTTATGCCTAGGGCTTTAAGTCAGGGCAGTATCCAGTAAAAAATGACTGACACTGAAGAATTTTAAACTTTAGGTAGTTGGTCTTATATGACTGACAGCACAAAATTAAATACCCAAAAACTAGCCAGAAAAATTCCCCTGCATTCAATATTAAAATGGGCTATTAAAAAATTAGTCAGTCAACTCTTCTTTCAGCATTAGGAGGAGTTATTTGTCGTTGTGGTTCTTTTATATGATTAGAGAAAATGTGTGAAAGGACAATCGTCTTAAAGGTAAACACATTGCTGAATGATATTGCATTGTACATTCTTGGTGATGCATAGATTTGGCTTTTGTGCTGGTCAAGTTATTGATCTGACGTTAACTTCAATCAAACACAAGTATGGTAACAAATGTCAAATAAACAGTTGATCATGTTTAATAATACAAAAATTTTTGTTTCTTGTAATCTATGTAAGCTTCCTAAATAAACGTTATTATTATATTATTATAATACACTGTAACTAGACTAGATAGTAGATTATAGAGAGGTACTCTTAAATTAAATTTGGACTTGTCTGAAAAGGAAACATTTATCTGATGCTAGGATTGCCTATTAGTATTTTGACCTAATAGAATCTCTAATGAAAATTTATGGAATTAAAATAACCAAGAAAATGTCATAAAGTAAGGTGAAGTGAATAACGTGAAGAAAATGGAAATGGACTCCCTAGAAGGAAACTTCAGATTGAACAACTATCAAGACAATGATACCAACTTTATAGAATTAGAATATTGCCACAGATGACCATCTAGAGACACAGGAAATTCAGGAATAGTTCATGAACCCAGAAGAAAAAAAGCAATTGTTTATATAATACAATTTATGAACACAATCCTCAGACTTCCAAGGTTTATATTGTTCATCATGTTTTTAAAAGCTAGAGAAAACTACACTGTTCATCAAAATTATAGGCCTATCAGTTTATTATCATCAATAAGCAAGTTTGCTGAAAGGGTTATATATAGAGAGACTGAAAAAATAGGAATTACACCAGAAAGCCCAATTTGGATGTAGACTAGAACACTCATGTGAATTACAAGTGCTACAGTTGACAGAGTACATCGCAGGGATTCAACAAGAATAAATATACTGCCACAAATATACGGTAAAACATTTGGCAGGGTGTAGCATAAAGAGCTCATTCACAAATTTAGTCCATTTGGATAGAGTAAGACAATGACATGTCTTCTCTCTTTGTACTTGGCTAAGAGAAAGTTCAGGATTCAGATAAGACAAGTCTTTCCAGCACCTGAAGCAATGGAGGCCTGGGGTATCACATGGAGAGGCATCTGCATCCTTTAAGTGTATGATCTATATTGGGAGATACATAATAACAGCAAGAATTCTGAATGCCAACATCAGGATATGACTGAATCAATTTGGCTAATTTTAATTTTGAAATATTTGTAGAAGTTCAAGGAAGGTTTAAAAGATAAGATAATATTTAGTCCTTTGGATTGACGTCACTAAAACCGTGGCTATCTTCATGTCTATTTACTCTTTTACTTTTCACACAAATGACTGGAGTTCACTTCCCCTCTGAGGAGAATTTTTTTGTTTTTTCAATCCATTATAATAAAATATAAAGTAATTAAACATAAATACAAGATAATAATAAAAATGTAAATGATGAATAAATTCTATACAATATTTAACAAATTTTGAAACTGACTAAAATCATTAAACAAAATTTTTAACATTTTAAGGAGGTTAAATGTGTGGTGTTATTATAAAAAATATTAACAATTTACTAATAAACATTATATAAAATTGTAATAACCCTCATATTGTAATAACACATATAAAAAGTATTTATTTCTGTGGGCACTCCCAACTGCCATACACTGCTTTTATTATGCAACAGTACAATATAAAATAAGTGGTACTTAAAAATTCATGTGCACTTACTTGTTGAGATCTAATATTTCCAATAATCCATGTCAAAAGGGAAGTCATTTTAGTTCTGTACCTGAAAAAGTATATATTTATTGTAAAGTATTATGAAAAATATCACCTGGTCCATTAATTTTTTTTTTTTTTCAGGGAAATAACGTTACTTAGGAAGCTCAAACATAAAAACTTAATTAATTTAGTAGACGAAATGTTTAATCCAGAAAAGCAGAAAATGTATTTGATAATGGAATTCTGCGTAGGATCTTTGCAAAATATGCTAGAATCGACACCGGACAAAAAATTTCCGCAGAGCCAGGCCCACGGTTATTTTTTACAACTCATCGATGGACTGGAATATCTTCATAGTATGCGGGTAGTACACAAAGATATTAAACCGGGTAATTTACTTCTCACACTCGAAGGGGATTTGAAGATAAGTGATTTGGGTGTCGCAGAGGTAAGATTCTTTTGCTTATTTGTTTATAGTTTACAATTATGGAAGTTACATTAATATACATTTTTATTCAGTTAAAAATGGTACTAGAATAACTTTTTTTAATTCGTGAAAAATTACCAGTAAAACGAAATTCAAATTATAAAATATTTATTGTTCACAAAGTTTTATAATGAAAAACCTGATAAATAAATTAAACAATTTTTGAATAGTTATTTTGGGAAGCGGTTGTAAGTCTAAACGAAAAAAACTAGCCATTATAGAGATTTATATAACTATAGATAAGGCAGTAACTGATTTGGGTTGAGTAAATCGTATGTGATCCAATTTTTGTCGACACTTTATGTAAAAAGACAACAATTGGTACCCCGAAAAATATTTTTATTAGTTGTGTGTGTAAAAAAGGTACTGTACTATTATTCAAAATGAAACAAAGGCTGTGTTTGTGTGTGGTTGAACCTTAAAAGAAGTCATATAATAAACTAGGGATACCTATTGGTTACAGAATCGAATATGATGAGGGTTTTAGTATGATGTTATATGGTTAAAATTTATTGTAATGATTTTTTTTTTAGTTTTTGCTAATTTTGCAATAATTTTTATTTTTCAATTTACAATCAATTCTATCTAGTAGGAAATTTAATTGAAACACTTTTGTGCCTTGATACATTTTTCTAAAATGTATAGCTGTCGAGATGTAGCAACAAAAAGGAGAAAAAAATTGATTTATTATTTTTTATTTTTTTCACTTGCAATTTAATAATACTATTTAATTGCTTAATACAAAATTAAGCTCACCTTTTGTAGTGTCTGCATAAAGAATTATCATTTCTAATAATGTTTTGAAGCAATTAATCAAAACATTATTAGAAATTGACTCTACATCAGGGTAAAATAAATAAGCTGCTGGTATTTGAAAGGAATGTTCTTAGTAGAAGGAATATTTGGACCTCAAAGAGATGAATTGACAGGTGAATGGAAAAGATGCCGCTATGCTGAATTGGTGACTCCTATGGTAACAGGTCATATGGTACGATCAGAAGAAGACAGTGTGCTAAAGACAGTGTTTTTGAAAGACCAGATGATAGAAGATTAGTAGGCGATTCCAGAAAAAGATAAAAGGATGATGTTGAAGCTAATTTATCTAGGATCTTGGTGCAACAAATGGAAATAAACAGATGGAGGTCTATAGTGGATGCGGCGAAGACTCACCCCGAGTTGTAAAGCCAGTCAAGAAAAGAAGAAGAATGTAAATAAACAATGGAAATGTAATTTTGAGAAAAAATATTACCATCTATCCAGAGAGCCTACTTACAAGGGCGTACCATAAAAAATATCAAAGTTATTTATAAATGTTTATCAGCTAAATATAAGCACTTTTTCCAACTGTTTGTCTAATAATAATTTTAATAAATATTGAAATTGTTCTAATATATCTTGAAATTGAAGCCTCAAAGAATCGATTGCGGTCTGCTAAATACCTTTAGAGTCACTGTTTGGGCAAGTACAGTTGTTTGAATAGTCGTTCTCCGGGATAAAAAAATTGAATAACTTTCGATATAGCTGAGATTTAGCATACTTCAATAACTCATTAATTAATCTTTGATAAAATAAAAGGCAAATATCGAACTCTGTCTTATTAATAAATCCTGCCCAAGTACTTTCGCTTCCTAGAGCATCTTCATGGGCATTTCGTCAAATTTTGGGCTATCCAACAATTGCAGAATGTCATAAACTTAATATTGAACATAACACTACACTAAACAAGGACAAACAGTTTAAAAATATGTAAAAAATAGTGGAAGCTACATTCTGGTTGGCAACAGGAGAGAGAATGAGCCACTATAGAACGCATCTAATATTCATCAATGTAACATTTGGAGGAGTATATTATTTAAGGAAAAAATTTCTCATGGATAATGTCATATAAAGATGTAAGTGCATTCCTATACTCAAACTGGGTTTCATCTAGATCCCTTTCGCATTGAATTATTCATCCATGGGCTATGCGAAGAAAAATATTCAATGTGTTGCCCATCAGAGTGACAAATCTATATTCGTCGCATGTTTATATTCGCTGTAAATTATCTTTCTAATATATATGAAACCCAATTAATTACTCTCACCACATGATATTTGTAAGAGGTATGATGATCACGTTTTTGAAAGTAACTGGAATTGATATTAGTAACTTTACTACTGATTGATGGAGCACCGAATATGATAGGGACTAAGAACAAAATCTGTTGATGTATCTCAGTTTCTACCAGGACGTTAACAATTTTTATAAGCTGTCACGTTTTGTCTGTCATTTACGACTTCACACTCTTCTGAAGAATAATCACTTTAATTAATTAATTATTATTATATGTTAATTAATAATGCACTCACCGGCAAAATTAACGGAACACCTTAAAATTGGGACATGTTAGATGTCTCGAATTTCCTAAACCTGTTGTCCGATTTTAGTGATTTTTTTAGTATGTTATAGGTATATTATTTAAAAATATCGATGTAATAATATTGTTGCTAGACAGGTCAATGTCATTTTATACCGGGTGTAACAATCCTAATGTGTTTTTTCCTTAAAGTTTGGAACACCCTGTGGAATATTCTAGCATATATAAAATATTGAAATTAAATATTAATTATAGCCTCAGGCTTTCTTAACATTTTCTTTTTTGATTCATTTGCTTATGTTTGATAATAAAAAAGTTAGGTACGTTAACAACTAGCCATGTTTTTCATCAATAAATCCTCATTTTCTGCTTAGTTTAAAAACAAGCCCAAAGTAGGCTATGAGAAGTTAACAATTTAATACACACACCGGCAAATTTAAAGGAACCTGTTATTAATGCAATATTTCTTTATATTTGTATTTTATAGACTATATCTACATAGCTTTGAAAGCTCCTTGTCACAAGAAAGTCTTAAATGTCAAAACGTCAAATTAATTTGTTTATTTGTATTGTGTTTTACATTTTATAGTCATTCTGTTTGTTCATAACAAGTACAAACTTGTATTTAATTGAGCGCATAGTAAGAAAGAGACTTAAAAAAAGCCGGTCTCAAGTCATATGTGCCAATAAAAGCTCCCAGACTCCAGATACACCATCGTTTAGCACGACTACAATTTGGTCGAGTACATCAAAATTGCAATGATAACACTGGGGTCAAATTCCTCTTTACGGACGAGAGCCGTTTCTGTGTAAATTACATCGATGGTAGAGAAAGATTGTATCAACGGCCAAGGAGAACGAAATGCCCCTTTCAATTTTACTACGACCGTACCTTTTGGTGGAGGTTCAATTATGGTGTGGGGCGGTATATGTTTGGGAGCAATAACAGAGTTAGTGGTGATTGATGATGGAGCATTAACAGCAGATAAGTATATCAGAGATATTCTCCAAGACCATGTGGTACCTTTTTCACCATATATTGGCGAAAATTTTATTTTAATGCAGGATAATGCGAGCCCACACGTCGCAGACTGTGTAAGATATTTCTTATTACAAGTGGGTATAACAACGATGAATTGGCCAGCTTGTTCCCCAGACCTAAACCGATAGAGGATATGTGGGACATGCTAGGCAGAAAAACTTAGGGCACGGGTTCCTGTTATTCAAAACAGAAAGGAAGTCACAATTGCTTTGATTGAGGAATGGGAAGAGACTGCCCAACAACTGATCGATAGCGGTATCAGAAGTATGAGAAGACGAATAACTGCAGTTGTAAGGGCTCGTAGGGGAAAACACACGCTATTAAAGCCAAAAAAATGCATAAAAAAACCAATTTAAGTTCAAACTGTACAATAAAGTTAATCCGTTTAAAATCCTTATTTTGTTGAGTCTGACATCTTTGTGTTTTATTTCTTCTTAAACAGGTTTTATATTGTACTACCATTGTAATATAAATTCAAAATACTTCACCTACATTCGTATTATGATATTATCTAAACAGTATATAGACTAGAGAGAAAATACTCAGATTTTATGGTTGTTCTCTTTAAATATGCTGGTGAAACTAAGAAGAAAATGAGCATTTATTGATGAAAAACATGGCTAGTTGTTAACGTACCTAACTTTTTTATTATCCAACACAAGCAAATGAACCAAAAAAGAAAATGTTAAGAAAGCCTGAGACTATAATTGAGCTTTAATTTCAATATTTTATATATGCTAGAATATTCCACAGGTCTTTTCGAACTTTAAGGAAAAAACACAGTATGATTGTTACACCCGGTATAAAATGACGTTGACCTGTCTAGCAACAATATTATTTCATTGATATTCTTAAATAATATACCTATAACATACTAAAAAAATCACTAAAATCGGACAACAGGTTTAGGAAATTCGAGTCATCTAACATGTCCCATTTTTAAGGTGTTTCCGTTAATTTTGCCGGTGAGTGTATTAACTAAAGTTTTATGTGGCCCTCTCCTTAAAAAGTTGCCTATGTCTGAACTAGATAAACACTTGTTGATGTGGTGATACCTACCAACATGATCTACATGTTAAATACAACGATAAGCCAAGTACAGAGACCTTGAGACACAAATAACGAGACAATGAAGAATGGAAAGTTCTCAGTATCTATTATTCTCTCTTCTACTGTCGAAAATCTTCTATATAATATTAAATAGCTGGATTTTAGTGAAAATCTCTTTGGTCTTATGTGGTCTTTGTGTTAAATACAATAAGGAACCAAACAAAATCTCTTTAAAACCAAGCAAAAAGCTCAAACAATATCTATTATTGCCTCTACCACTGACAATCTTCTAGATATTATCAAATAGCTGTGTTTTAGTGAAACGATCTTTAAAACCTAACAACAACGGTCTTTGTGTTGAGAATACAATGAGAAACCAACTACAGAGACCTTGACACACAAATAACACAATGGAGAATGGAAAATTCCTAGACAATATCTATTATCCTTTCTACAACTGGTGATAGTCTTCTAGATATCTAACAGCTGGGTTTTAGTGAAAATCTCTTTAA